ATGAAATGGTCAAATAAAAAATAAAAATCAAAGAAATGTACAATTAAATATTGCAAAAAAAAAGTAGAACAGAGGTGAAATTATTGACGAAGATGATCCAACAAAAATAACTTGAATGGAGAGTCCAATTCCTTTAATTGGGACTATTCAACTCTCGTGGAACTATATATATATAATTGTTCAGAACAATTGGACTGTTGTGGCTGTCTAATCTTAATTGTTCCTACATGCATGCATGAATACGCAACGCTCACATACTCATACTGCTTGCAAACAATTGAGATTGAATTCGATAGTCACGTCAGTCGTGTCCCAAAGATTAATGTGTAAAATAATAAAATAGGCATCCCACCAATCTCTCCTTTTTGTGGGTTTCTTTGTCTCCCTTACTTTTGTTCTTTTGCTCTGTTGAATTAAGTTGGCTGTTGTGAACACCACAATCCTCATGCCATGATCTCCGACGGATTAGGAGACACTACAAAATAAAAATAAAATAAAATAAAAAAAACCTTAATTAGTAATGGTTTTAAAAACTATTGCTAAAATCATGAAATACCGACTATTTTAAATAATCCGTAGTTACCTTTTTTGTCATACGTTAGTTCCGAGCATGGTTTTTAAAAACGATTGGTAAAAAACTAATTGCTTTGAGAATTAGCAACGACTTCAACTAAACCCTCGCTAATTCCAAAAAAATATATGTTTCTTACAACAGCTTTTTGGAAATCGTCTCTAAAAATCCCTTTTCGAATGATTTTAGCTATTGATTGTAATAAACTATCACTAAAATCATTTTCCTAAAATTACAAAGCATATTGGGTTTTAGTGATAGTTTTTTTTAGTGAAAACGGTCGCTAAACATCGATGTTAGCAATGGTTTTCATAAACCGTCACTAATTTTGGTAACTTTAGAGGGAAATGGAATTTCTTAATGAAAAAATAATCTTTTGCAACAGCTTTTAGTGACAATTTTAAAAATAACGTCGCTAAAAAGCTAATTGTTTTGGGAGTTAGCAAGGGTTTTAGATAAATTGTATCTAATTCCAATATATATATATATATATATATATCCGTGTGTGTTTTTTGTGATTTTTTTTGGAAATCATTGCTAAAACCCTTTTTTCGAGTGATTTTAGCAAAGGTTTGTAACAAACTCGTTGCTAAAATCATTAAGCCAAAAATCTAAAAAAATATGGGGTTTTAACGATGGTTTTTTTGGTGAAAATCGTCGCTAATTTTGTTACTATTTGAGGAAAATAAAATTTTTGAATAAAAAATAATCTTTAGGGATGGTTTTAAAATTGTTTTGAACTCGTCACTAAAAAATAAAATCTCTAAATGCCTATAGCTCGAACGTTTTTCCCATTTCTTCATCTTCTCTTCTTTTTCTTCCTTCTAGCAACAACGAGTTCCATCCCTCTCCCAATTTCCCCTCCAATCACAACCGGAACTCCCAAAAAAGCTCCCATTTTCTCGTCTTTTCTTTTTCCCCTACATCTCTTCCCTCTTCCTCTTCCCTTTTCTTCTTTTTTCCCTCATTTCCTCCTCCTCCCTTCCCTCCTCTTCTTCATGAATAGTTCATAAGCAACATCTACTCCTCCTTCTTACCAGTGCTCCTCCTTCTATAATCCTCAATTTGTGTAATTGGTAACTCATTAAGTTTTTTTTTATTTACTTCAATAATTTTATATTGTTTAATTGGTTAATTTTAATAACACATTCTAAAATGATATTTAAGTTAGTAATTTAAAACATTAATTTTGAGCAGCATATAAAAGAAAAAATGATATAGCTAAGTGTCATTCATTTTTCTTTCTTCCTCCCCTCTCCTTCTTACTCGAACTCTCCCTAATTTCCTCTCATCTCCCTCCTTCAATATTTAAGCTAAAACCTTTTCCAATTAACTTAGAAAAATCATAAAACAAGTGGATTAAAATGGAAAGCTAGATTAAAGTTTGGAAGGCTTGGAGAGTTTAGGGTTGAATTTGGGTTGAAGAACCAATTCTCAAAGGTAAGAATTCTTGCCAATTGGTTTCTAAATTAAGATGTCTATAAGTGTTTATTAATGAATTTGAAGTTGATTTGTATTGGGTTTATTGTTGGAGTGAAAAAGTTAGATAGATTAAGGTTGGGGTTTTCGAAACCCATTTGAAAAATGGTTGATTAAGTAATTCTAAGCGATTAAGTGATGTTTAATTATTTTGGGTTAGTGATTTATGAAGTTGAATTGGGTGAATTTGATTAATTTGAGAGGTTGAAGATGATGAATACTAAATTTCAAATTTTGGATTTTGAATTGACAAGAATTTAGAAAAAAAATGAAGAATTGAGTTTTATACATATAATTAAAGATGAATCATTAAGTATTGAGTAAATTAGAATAGAGTTGATGATTTAATTGAGAATTGATTGATTAAAGTTTGAATTAAATTTGGAAATTTGATGGTTAAGTAAGTGTTTATCGTAAGTGACATTTGAAATAATGTTTATTGGTTATCTTAGAGTTATCTTATATTGGGTTTGTCATTAATTAATTATTGAGGTAGGTTAAGGTTAGGATTTGAATTGAATTTGAAAAAAGAGGACATATGTGAAGATTGATTGAGAATTGATGAAGGAATATAGTTAGGTAATTGTCTAGAATCAATTGAGTAAAAGTTCGGGTAAAGTTATCGGTTTAAGTCTTATAATCAATTTCATACTTATAAATTATCTTCTATCCCAATTTTTAGAATAATTTATTTATTTTGAATTATTCTTTAATATGTGATATTGATGATTGTTTCACCATTGTGTATCATTAGATTTTTTGGAGTAGACAACTCTATCTCAAGCAACCTTGATTATGTTTGATCTTTCGATTATTCTTTGAGTGGACGAGTATATAGCATATTATGCTTTTGAATTCCTTTGGTATATCTATAATGCATTATTGGTTTAACTATAATATAATTATATTCATTAGGACTTAGACGGGAATGGGCCCCTTGTGCATTGAAAATGATTTCATATCAAAAAATGGTTTGATATGATTTTAGAAAGGGATTTCAATATATGTTTAGATAAGTGTTTTACTTATGGTTTGATATGTGATTATATATTTAAACACTAATTTACTTTAGATTTTTATTTTGATTATTCGTATAATTTTTGTAAGTGTTTATTTAACATCGGATTACATTATCAAATCGATTTTGAACATGAATTGTATTTGATATGTTAAATTTCAATATTTTTGAAATACATATAAGTTTATATGGTTCTTTATTTGATTGGTTATGTTAGGGTATCTAGCTATGAGGGCGTAGCCTTTAGGTATTCGTATCCAATGATACGTTATTTTTTCACTTCGAGTGTTATTCGGATATTTGATTTTATTTGATATATATACGATTTGGTATTTATGATATGTATTTGGTTTGGTGAAACAAGCATTGCATATTGAGTCAAATTTTAAGTTATCATCCTTAGTCTATTTTTTTCCCTATTATGTTATATAGTATCTACTCATTAAGTCGTCGATTTGCTCACCCTCCACTATTTTAGTTTTGCGAGGTTTTGTGAAATTGCCCTTTTCGCTTCTATAAAGTCGTTATCTTAAAGTCAGTATATTGATCGTATGGCTTATTTAATTATAATCTCTTGAAAGTTATGATTTGATTTTATTGTATCTTCTAGAAGCACTTGCAGTTATACTTATGGAAGTTGTATAAGAGTTTGATTATGGATATGTTTAAGTATTATGATATTGATTGGTTAGAACGATGAATATGGATGTTAAACTAGAAATGATATTTGATGTGCTACATGTTTGAGAATTATAGTTTAGATATTCAACGCTTACTTGAGTCATGGTAAGCCTCACAGCTTCTTTCAATTCTCATATTGGTCATAACCCACTTCAAGAGTCGTGAAAAAGTTGGTATCAAAGTATAGGTTTTAGAGTCTAGAGTAAGTATAAAACATAAGTTCTATTCTAATCCATGTATGTGCTTTAAATTTCATAGATCAATCGGTTAGTGTATGCCTTAACTTTTCTATTTATACTCTTAAATCATGTGTAAAAGTAAGTTTTTATCACGGATGGCTATGTCAATTTTTTCCTTCATTTCGTGTCTCTCAACCTCTCGCCCATGTGGCTTTTCTTTCTTTCTTTCTAGGATGGCAACTCTATGGTGACACACATGGTCGTGTCATATCCGTTTTTCATCCCATGTCTTTTAGCTTCTACCCATGTGGGTTTTCTTCCTTCCTTGGATGATGACTCTATGGTGACACATACGACTATGTCAATTTTGCTACACAAATCGTACTTATTCTTTGTACCCGTGTGTCTTGTTGGCCTAAATACATGTATGTTCATATCAATTTTATTACACAAACTATGCTTATTCCTTCTACCCATATGTCTTCTAGTGCTAAATACACATATTGGTGTCTTAAATTTTTTACACAAGCCATTCTTACCCCTATCGCTCGTGTGTCTTCTTATGCTAACAAACACATGGCTTTCTTCTTTGTTTCACATAGCCACTAGCTATTTTCTTTTACAAGACACATGGTCGAGTGTCTTGTTAGCACTCGAATTTTTCCCAAAAATAAAAAAATATAAAAAAAGAGAAAAATAAAAGGGACTAAAAAACACAATTGATGGATACAATTAAAAAAGAGGAAAAGACCAAAATAAAGTAGGTCGTCTAGATAAGGGACCAAATCAAATTTTTATCAAAACAACCCAATATAAAAACCCACTTTTCCAAAAAAAAATTAGCCTCTCTAAAAAGCTCGAATTTCGACCAGCTCTACATAAAAAAAAAAAAAAAAAAACCTCCGATCGACCTTCCCTCTCTAAAGAAAAATCCAGTTAGACTTGAATTACCCCACCTAAGCCAATTGCCCAGCCCCCTTCCTCACGACGTCGATCGTGCCATTGCTAATGGTCGATCTAGCTTCTCCCATCATTGTTCCAACCACCGAAGGAACATCATCTAGTTTTTTAGTCAACGGCGTCTATCTCCACCCAATCTAGCCGCCTGCATTAGATTTTGTCCACCCAAAGCCGTCGGCCAACCCAACTCTCCTCCAACCGAATTGTTTCGTCTAGCTACCCATTTGTTGTTCGATTTCTCCAGCTTCGGTCCGGTCCGATCTACACTTCCAGTAGCTTCGTTTTGCCTCACCAGACTCCGATCCAACCATTCCAACTCCTATCAACCTCTCCTCCAACCTAGCAATCGATCAACATTCCCTTCACCTAACTCCGTAGTGAACCAATCCGAACCAGCTTTTGATAAGATCCAACTACGATCAACGATCCCATCCAACTCCACGTTATCCGATCGACTTGATCCAAGTAGGCTCTCCACACTCGTTTAGTCAAATCCGATCACTAACAACTAACCTTCCTCCATGGTTGATTGAATATCGATCTCCAACGAGGTTGAAAAGAGTCGAAACGGATCTCAATTCAACAATCTAATATATTTCCTGTTTATAGTAATTTATTTTATCTCTCGCTTTAATTTATTTTATTTTAATATGTATTTAATCCGATTCGTGGTATTGTGTCGCTCAATTAATTAATTTGTTTTGATATATTTGTAAGTTAATTAGATTGTCGTTGTGTGTGTAAATTAATTAAATTATTACTTATGTATAATTTGATTAAATTGTCTTATTGTGTACAATTTAATTAAACTATGGTGTTTGTGTTGTTTTGGTTGACGTTTGTGCTTGTTGATGTGGTTGAAGGTTTATTATTATTTTGTACATTTTTTTAAACATGCTGGTTCGAATCGTGGTTTTAGATCACTTTTGGTCAATCGTGATAATTAATTGAATTGTATCAATTTATCTTAAAAATGTGATTTTTGCATTCATCTCGTTCAAATCATGTGTTTAGACAATTTTGTCGATAATAACATTAAATTACTCACGTGTAAATTTTGTTTAAAAAAAGCACAATGTTGGATTATGTTGGTTCAAACCTCATTGTTTGAATCATTTTTGTCAAATAATATCTAAATTTGACATGGTTGTCAATTTGCCTAAAAAATATGACTTTTGAACATCATTAGTTTAAATCTTGTTTCAGGATAATTTTTACCCATCGCGATGGTTAATCAATATTTGTGCTGATTTGTCTTTAAAAAAACATGATTTCTAAGTCTGTGTTGATTCGAGTCTCGTTTCGACCATTGTTGCATATTGTGAGAATTAATTTGATATTGGGTCAATTTTGCCTAAAACTCATGATATTCGGGATCGTGTCGATTCGAATCTTATTTTTTATTTATTTTTGTTAATTCTAATGATTTTGTTCATTTTTTCTAAAAATCACAACTTTTGAAGTCATGTCGATCCTAATCTTGTTTTCGAATCATTTTTGTCAACTTCAATGATTTTTGCTAATTTTGCCATTTTTGCCAATTTCATCCTTTTTACTTGTTTTTATATAGCCTTTGCCAATTTTATCGATTTGTCCTTTTTCCTAATTGCCAATATGTTAATTTTGTCTATTTTGCCTAGTTATTTATTTGCTTATTTATCGATTTTACCAATTTGCCAATTTTACCTATTTTGTCTAATTGACTATTTGTCGATTTTTGTCAATTTGCTGATTTTGTCTATTTTTTTAAATTTTTTATTTGTTGATTTTTGTTAATTTGTCAATTTTAGCTATTTTGCCAAATTGTTTATCCATCGATCCGGCCAATTTGTCGATTTTACTTATTTTGTCTAATTGTCTATTAGCTTATTTTGTCCGTTTTGCCTAATTATCTATTTATCGATTTGCTAATTTTACTAATTTGGCCTAATCGCCTATTTGGTAATTTTGTCGATTTGCCTATTTTATTGTTACTTGCATATTTGTCTATTTTGCCCATTTTGCCTATTTTTCCATTTTGCATTCGCCAATTTTTTCTATTTATCTATTTTTTATTTTTAAAAGCCTTATTTTCATGTACACCATTTAATTCACATTAGTCAAACATCCTTGCATTCATCATGTCTTTTATTTCTTAGCTATTCATTACGGAGTAAGGACAAGGTCTTTGATTGCCCAAGTTCTAAATCACTCGACTAGTGGGTAGATACATAAAAAAATAGGTGTAGACTTTCATTATAAAAAAAATCGAAAATCAAATCAATATAATATGCAATAGAACTTGCCTTAAGTAGGACGAGGTAAGGTAATTTTTAATTTTTTTTGCATGTAATAAACCCTTTTATCCAAAACTCCGAATAGACTAGTCATAGGGTTTTCTAGTAACCATAATACTAGATGACGACTCCAATCATTTTTTTCTCATTTTTCCTATTTTTTCCTACACACATCGCCCTCGCCATTGACATCGCGTAGAATAATTTGAGAGATACCAACTTGCCTCGCCTATAATAATTTGCTCTATCTTGTAATTTACTTTAAAAAATATGGTACTTTTAACTTCATCCAAAGCTACCTAAATTAAATTACAAGTTGAGTCATAAAATGAAATATTATTTAGAGAAGAGAGAATCTCATACATGTTAATTACACCTAATAATAAAAGGGTAATGAAAATAGATGAGAAACGGAAAGCATCATTTTTAATCAACCATCCACAAAACAATAATACATCCAACATCTAACATCCACAATAATAGCTACAAATAGCAAAGCCACACATAACAATAATAAATCCAGCCATTGTTAGCACCTCATATAGATGATCCACCATGTTCATTGATAAAATTTTCAATCCAAAGTCTGTCTATGTTGTTCATTTCTTGCCATAAAAGCCTTTGTCAACCTTTCATTCAAGTAATCAAAGATAGTGTTCATGATGTCATCATCAAAATCAGTAATCTTTATCACTACATCATAAAGCTCATCTATATCAACTTCTTTTTACTTAAAGTATGAATTGCTTTGGCCACTTCTCTCACTTTCATAGCTAAAATAGATGTAATTGATTCCTCAATTTCACGAGTCTCTTTTTCGATGGCTTCTCTTTTTAGAAAACATACCAATTGATGATGCTTATTTTAGTTTGCTTATCTCAACTTCAGCTAGTGTTGTACATTCCATCTTAGAACTCTCGACTAACTTGATGTCATTAAAGGACTTACCAAAATTTCTTGTGGCCATATCTTGTCCAGCAGCAAGTGTCATCTTATTCTACATCTTAAGTTTCTTATTTAAGTATTTCTCATTATTAGAATGTGCCCGTATGTTAAAAGAAATTAGAAAACACCATATAAATTCAAAAAAATAAGTTGAGACATTGAAAAAAGATTTTATATTACCATTATCTCATCATCCTAAACTTGTTTTAAGATAGTTATCATTTTTAACTCATCATTCCATCCAAAACCACTTTTCTCTTACAGTTATGTGATAATCTTTCATTCTTTCTTTATTGTCCTCAAATGATTTTTAGCATGATCGGGATAACAATCTAATCCAAATTTTTTAAGTTGAATTCTCTAACTACACGTGTAAAGCTATCTTATTTGAAAGTGAAAGAAGGTGTATTCCTTTTCACAACCTCCTCGACCAAAATCTCAAACAACATATAGGACATAGGTTTTGTCCACCTAAACTATTTTGCTTTAGCTTTTTCTTGCTTTGTATTGCTCATTTCTACAAGCATTTCCAATAAAGAGAATTTCAAAAAGTAAAAACAAGAGAAATAGTCAAATAACATCATCACTTATTCAATAAACTCCAAATGACAAAAAACAAAAACAAAAAAAAAAACAAGAAAAAAAAATTGCTACAATTATAGCAAAAAAAATCAAAAAAAAAAATCCTAGAAATATGTAAATCAACCTCCCAATCTCAGTTGATGTAATTATAACCAAACTACTACAAAGTGAAAAAAAAAACAAACAACACTAAAATTTATACATGATAAACAACCAAATAAAAATGAAAGTCTAATTTATCCTATAAGCCATATAGTTAATCAAGAAGTAAAACATAAGTAAATACATTAATGATCCTTTGAAATCATAAGTCACTTTGTATAACATAGTCATTCCACATATCCGATGCCATGACATCTCTTTTCGCTACCCATTCCCTATTCTCTTCCCTTTCCTCTTTTTGACTTAAACAAGTTCTATCCATAATCATGGATTGGCTTGATGTGGCAATTTTTTTCATAACATAATCATTAGGGTCAACTCTTACTATATGATTATGAAAGATATAACTTGCAAGCATGATATCCACTTGAGTTTTATAGGAAGAAAACATTCGAGCATCAATACACTAAAATCTTTTCTTTTTTATACCGAAACCACATTCAATTGATGTTCATAAGGAAGAATGATAGAGATTAAATTATTCCTTTATATTCTCGGGTGAATGCTTAGTAACTCATTTAGATGGTATCAAACACCATGATATAGAGTTATCACTCCATTTCGGGTTTCGCAACCAACATCACCAAGATGATATTTATCTACAAATTTTATGCAATATACCACCAATAAATATTTATATACACGTATAACTATATATGTAGATAATGCACATTAAATATTTCATTTAATACCTTCGAAATCATAAGTCCTCCCGATCATGATAGTGTATCGTTTAAGACACGAGAATCAAGTGTACTTCCTTTCCAACCGAGTAAAAATATAAGTAAATTTTAATTCAAAATTGATGGTTGCCAACACATTCTTTGTTATTCCATCTTTTCTACCATGAAACTTTCCTTGCATTTCTATAGGTACACTTACTGGAATATGGTACCATTAAGTGCTCCAATGCAATCCTAAATAAAAAAAATTAATATTTATGAAAATCTAATTTTTAATGAAACTACTTAAATAACATTTTTTTTTTAACAAAAAAAAAAGAGAGAAAACTAACCTTAAAATATAGAGAAAATCTTTCATTGTTGGAAATTAATTTGGGTATTGAGTTAGTCGGGTCTTAAATGAGATAAAGGTATAATTTTAGAATTGTCGCCAACACAATTCTACAATATCTATGTATTATTTCAACGGATCTATAAAATTTTCACGCTAATAAATCAAAATCTTGCATTGTGTCCAATTATTTGCAAGAACATCATTACTTGTTCTCTAATGGTCATATTTTTAGTTAATTGTAAAAGGTTTAGTCTGTGTTCAAAACCTCACACAATTTGTCAAATGACTTTTATGACATACGAATTTGCGTAATACAATGTTGATCACCCGAGTTAAGTGTACTATTTATATAGAACTCTCTCTTATAACTTTCATCAATTCAAGGTTGTCTTAGTATAGTAGTCCTATTTTCATACTCATCAACTATATGACATGCGGTGATTGCAATTATAGCACCGATTGTGCCTAGAAGGCAAATCAATTAACTTTCAAATCATGACATGTAAGAAATTGATTTTTGCTGTAACAAACTAATATAAAATGCACATATGTAAAATCATTCAATAAATAAATTTAATTTTGATTAATGCACAAGTTAGTTTGAGTACGGTGACCATAACCATACGGACAAAACAAGAAAAAAAATGATTGGCAATTTTTAAGTGTTTGAATTTGATGAATATGGCCATTGGTTTTCCTTTTGAGTAAATTGATTTTCAAAGATTTCTTAGATTACTCGGGTCAAATTTGAGAAAAGGCAAACAATGTATGAAATTTGTCTCAAACATTTTGTTGTTGAAAGCTTGAATTGATACTAACACAAGTGAAGATTGATGTTTTATGCCCTTTATCATTCCTTTGCCTTAGCTAATGTTTATACCTAGTCAAACTTTCCAATTGGAAACCATTAAGATGACAACGGAGTCCATACAATAACAAGGGTGGACAATATGACATTAAGGCCAAGCCTACTTTGTGCCCATTTACAAGGGATGACAACTACTTTCCGATAAGCTAATTCAAAACTAAAATTTAATAAAAACTTCAGTATTTGTTGCAAAATGAGTGCTACTAACATAACAACCACTCTTTTTCTTTCCTTTTCCTTTTCTTGATTTCTAAACATAAAAGCAAGAAATATAAACAAAATTTCATATTCAACAAAATCAACTTCAATCCATTTATTTGGTTTTTTATTGAACATGAACATTAGAGATTCCACTATAGAAAATTTATGTTAAAATAGGCAATTCGAGTCCTATTTCTACGCTTTCATCCGAAATCAGTAACTTTAAGAGAAAGAATGGTTTAATCGGTAAGAGTATGAGTTGAAAACCCACCACTCATCTATAATAAAAAGTAGAAATCATAACTTGGTGTACTTCATTACAACATAAGATACTAAAAAGGTTCATTGACCAACTAATTCTATTTATTTTAAAGGCTTAGATAAACCACATAAATAAACAAAGAGGATTTATAATTAAATAAATAAATAAAAAGAAAGTGAAAGAAAAAAACAAACAAACAAAGAATAGCAAACAAACCAAAGACTTCGGTTATAAATTATAACTACGAGGATCCATCGGTAATATTTAAATGCCGCATAATAGTTCATTGAACTTGGTAATCAAAAAAGAAAAGAAATCAATATAATAAATGAGCTTATAAAGAATATGAAAGAATTATTGCTATACCAACATTTTCGGGTCTATCTTGTATCCAGTTTTAATGTCATTCACATGATAATCAATTCTAACTAAATAAGAGGGCACATATAGCATTTCCATTTTCAACTTTTCTCCAACCTTTTTCACAATATCTTGTATAAATTTTACATCATGTCTACAAATAGAAAACAAAATGACTAATAAAGTGGTATTGCTATCGCATGCACCCAAATTAAACTCCTATAACGCAAATGTAGTAAGGAAGAGTAAAGATCGATCCCACGAAGAGTTCTATTGCATCGGTTGTTACAAATCAAAAAGAAACTGAAATAATAAAGAGGGGGTTTTGGATTCAATTGAGATATAATCAAAATTGAATAAGTTAAATTCAGAAAATAAATTTAAGACAGATACTCAAGTAAACAAGTCTTGGTTCCGGTCACATCCACTTTTGGAACTTAAGATTTATCATTGGTGCACGAAATATCGGTTTATCATTCAAATATTTTTTGTGATATTGAAATCAATCTTTCCTTACTATTAGCCAACTAGAAACATGTATTCTAATTAACCCTTATTATTTAACAACCCTAAATATGATCTAAGATTTAATTAAATAATAACTTTTTGTATTAGAAAGATTAACAAAGTAAGACAACACAACACATGTAGTCGCATTTAATCTAGTTAAACAATCTTCCTAAGAGTCATTAGTTTCTAACGTAGCAAACCATACACTCCTAGTTGCTACAAGAATTAAAGGGATTGAATAATTATGAATTCAATATTTAATCTAGCTATAGATTATATCGACCAATAAACTAACCGTGTATATTAGAAATCAACCTAAACAATCATGAAAACAAGCATAAAAGAAAGTTTAATACTTGAAATGAATAAACTAATTTGCATTAATGTTTAAGCACCTCGAAATCTTTGTTTTCCAAAAGCTTCGACTACCTTCACCAAGAAAAAGGGTTTAGCTACTCATAACAGTTTTCATGGCAATTGTCATTAGAAAAATAAAGTTGACCATCCCTTTCGGGGTTACAATGAGAATAAAATAATCCAAAAGTGTTTGTCCTATTTTTCTATATTCCTATTTATAGGGATTTTCTATTTCCCAAGAGAGTACAAAAGCTTCGCTCCTATCTCTTCTCTTTCGGAAAATCCGAGTCTCATTTTTTGGTAAATCGCATCAAAATTTGTCTTCTAGTTGAGGCATGTTGTTTATTTCTATGGTTTTAGCATGCCCAAGTCAAGTTGCAACGTGCCCATACCTTCATACTCTTGCTTGTCAAATGTCTACTATATCTGCGTGCCCATGCTTCTCGTGTTTCTAGTGTCCGAATTGGTCTTGATCAACACTTTCCTCTATATGGCTCTTTTAACACAATTATCAACCAATTCCATGTCCCGACTTATAAAATGCAAAAGCGAGTTAAAGTCTAACAAGTGGACATCTCAAAACAATAAAACGCAAGAGAATTGAGTAATTAAACACATATATTCCGATCACTATCATAAAGTATAACAATGATGATTCAACAATCATTTTAATCACAAAGGCCTAAAAACCAATTCAAAAACCCACATGTAGAAAGAAAAGGTTTGTCATTGCCTCATTGCTCTTCATTTTCCTTTTTGTCACTACTCGATTTTTTCCCCTTTGTTTTACATTTTTTCAATTCGCTTCCCATATTGAAAACATTAAACTCAAGTTTTCAAAAACCTTATAGAACTTTTAAGTACTAAAAGCAAAAGAATCCCTTTGACTTTAGTGCCTATACAAGTCATGTCTCCATATTTCAAGGTATCAAAATGCTTCCTAAACATGCCGGAGATATCTATTCATCTCAACTTTATGAATTCCATAAGGAAACTATTCAATTACGTTTTCTATATTCTTCCTACTTTATTTGCTCGGTTTCTATCATCTATAGTTGTAAAAATTGTATTTAGAATTCGACAATACATATGCACAAGAACTTGGGGAGCTTGACATAAGAAAACTCTACTTTCAATTTTTCAATGCATCTAATTGACTAAGTTTTCCATAATTTCTTTATCTTTCCTCCATTCCTAATTAATAAGCAACCCCTTATTTCTAAAAATAATTAATTCTTAGTTGGATCTATAAGCTTTTAAGTTTTTATTCCACTTCTCTCTAATTGTCCAATAAAAGGTTGAGAAGAAACTCAACAACTAAAACACAAATACGGAATGGCCCTAAAGGGTTTTGAAGATCCAAAAAAACAAAAACGTTTCACTAATTTAGTTATCTCACTAATTACAATAGTTATTTCACTTATCTCACTAATTTAGTCTCCGGTTTTGAAGATCCAAAAAACATATATACTAGAGTAAAAGCAATAGTTTACAACGAGTAAAAGGAAGTGACGAGACCTATGAGGAGGAAGATGTACAAACAAACAAACAAATCGGACAATTTCGGTAAGAAATTAGATCTAATCGTTCTTTTGAATGGAGGCGTATTTTGCTCACAATGACGTTATCTTTGTTGCGACAGACATTGGGTGGTGAAGACGTCCTTGGGCAATCGTTAGGTGAGTTGGGTGAGAATTAGGATGGACGATAATGAGCCCTAAAGAGAAAATGTTTTCTTATTTTCTATCCGGAAAGTCACTTTCTCAAAACTATGCTTTAGTTTTCCTTAACTGGAAAATAGACTTCATTGACTTTTTTCTAATAAGGCCAAACAAACATGGGAAAGTAGGAAAAAATAGGAAAAACAAGTTTCAGAACTTGTTTTTCTTAAAACAAACACAACTTTAGTGGTAACTTGAGGAAATAAAAATTTGTTGAGTTTTCTGCCAAACCTCAAAGTGAAAATATGCTGATGCTAATAAGAGAGAAGAAAAAGAGGAGAAAAAACTAAATGCAGAGCTATTTGATGTGTGTTTTGTTATTGAACATATTAATTTTTAACATTTAAAATATTGGGTCCCATGAAATTTGATTTGTCCTGGATAAATAAAAGGAGCTATCTATCTAATTTGTTTTAGCGCCACCCTAAGTCCTAGTTTCTGTAAAATGGGATATTAATCATCCAAAACAAGTTCAACCTTAAGCCCAAGAAGAATTTTTTTCAAAAGTCTTCATCTCTCTTTTGTGCAGAGCATGTCGGACAAGTAAGAAGTGAAGTTTGTGCAAGCTGACTCAAATGCAGAGGAAAGCATTTTGTAAAAGTGGAAGTTTGAGTGGACTTCAGTGCAGTGGTTTTTCCTTTGATATCAAACAGGTTTCGATGTAAGAATTTAGTGTTCTGATGATCAATTAAACAAGTAATAAATAATAAACAATTATCCAGAATTAACACCAGAATGTTTGTGGAAAACACTTTAATATGAAGGGAAAAACTGCGGGAATGAAAATATTTACAGGCAACTTTGCAGAGCTTAAGAAAACAGCTTGCCAAGAACAACATGCTGAAATTTTGTCTCTGTCAGGCTCCAAATCACATTGTGATTAAGTCTTGGAAATTCAAAGTATAATGGCACTTTCTCTCTTGGAAACAATCTTATATTTCTCATCGATCTCGGCTTACTTATACACTCCTATACTTTCTGTCATTGCATTTATTTAGATCACTAAAGCCAAAAGCCTTACTTTATACCCTAATGTCATGTGACAACTTTAAGTTGTCTTTGTTTCTAATTTTAGATGATTTGGGCCAGTATAATCACATGGCCGGAAGCCTGGAACCATCAACATAATCTAAATCTTGGCATAAAAAATAAAATATTGCATGTTTAGGATTGTGGCGTGAGGGAACACACCGTGGTTCCACGAGGAATTTACAGAAGTATGAAATTATTAACTCATTGCTGAGAATGCAGTGCAATCCTGAATGCGTTCTTACTGCAGTATGCGTGGAAGTTGCTTATAATCCCGCTGCATGTGCCATAATTTAATAGTAAGCTATCTTTAAGCTTTTTTGCCTACTGTAGCTAACACCATTTGGGTGCATTCTTCAATTTGATACCTTGTAATTGTTCCTTGCTTCAACTTTGAATAAAATCGCAGTTGGAAGGGTATTCATGTTCACTGGCAATGGTAATATTAATTTTCAAAAGTAACATATTAATTTTTATGAAAAATTACAATGGTTGTGCAACATATTAACAAAATGCCAAGACTCGGTTTTTTGGCTTATCAAATGCATAGTTGTTTGACTATTGCTTCTGTATTGACTTACGTATGACTGTTGTTTTGGAATCTGAGATTTACTTAGTTTTTTAACCAAATTCAATATGGTGTCTTTAAGAACTCACTTAGGAAGTCGATGCATTTTTAAGATTTTAAATAAAGAATGAGTCAAACAAAATCAGTATATATTTTGATAATGAGTCTAATTCTATGATTTAGTTGTTTTTATGTGCAGATATTTGAAATCTAATTAAACTAATTATATTTCATCTCAAAAACTCCTCAAGAAAGTCATCATTCCTTCTCCTATCTATAACTTCTGCTTCTTCTTATTAGGTCCAAATCTGTTACCTCTATCTGTAGTAAAGAAATAGTGTAGTGAATTTATAGACATTTAGCCAAATTTTGCTGTAGGCATAGAATATTGGGTTACGGCCTGCTTTACCTTTCATGTGGATCTTTTTTTTTTTTTTTTTTTTTTGGTCCATGTTTTAAGACACGTTCTTTTTTCAGGGATTTTAAGTACTATTTCAGCCTCGAAGGAAACTTTTGAATGTTGTTTTCTCAGTAATAAGAAGAGAGAGAATAAGAGATATAAGTGACTTTTGAGTAGAGGTTTCAGCTGAGAATGCTATGTTGATAAATACTCTTAAATTTTGTTATAGCTCTTTGGGAATCAGTTTTGCAGAGTGATATTTCGATGAAACTGGTACTCTTAAAAAAGAAACTGTGATGAATGGGAGAAAGAACTGAGACGTTGGCATGTCGTGCTCTTGTTGATTTGGTCCATGACTAATGTTGTGGATCCGGTCCTCCTAACTTTGTCGTGTTCACAGATAGAATAGATGGAGAGAGCAAAAAAGAATTCAAAAAATTTTCCTATGGATTATGATCATATGCATTCATAATAATAAGTATTTTTAGTGTTTTACTCACTGAGTGATGATTTCAAATATCACAGTTTACATTTGCTATCAATTAGCTTACATCTACTTCTCTCGCAATTGATTAGAATGTGTGGAAGTAAAACTAAAGTGGTAAAATGATAAAGCAAAATCAGTACTCAATAGAAAATGGATAGATAAATACTGAATATTGGTGTGTCTAGTTTTGCTGGAGACTTTCAGATCCCACATAGGTGATTATGGAGGATATTGGTGTGGTTGCTTTACTCCTAATGTACTTGATGTTTTCTCTTTTAAGGCCTTAGGGCCTCCATATAATATTAAGAAGAAAGAGAGGGAGAGAGAGAGAGAGAAGATTATGGAAAACACCTGAGTTTTAATGATGCAAACAACTTGGATAGATAGCCCAACTCATTTGATAGGGATTTAGGACATGCTATTATGTCGGGGAACCTTTTCTTTCAACAAAAAGATTTGAGAAATGCTTTGCACGGTTGCGATTGAGATACTGCGTAATCTCAATTGTTCCCACGCATGCATGTGGGCTTTGTGTTCATATTGCTCGGGGATGATTGAATTGGATGGTTGCATCAGTTGCGATTTTGCTCAGCATTTCTTAATATTAATGTGTTGAGGAGCAAAATAGACATCCCAACAATTCTTTTTTTGGCTTACAAAAAATAATAATAATAATCAATAAAATAAAATAAAATCTTTTTTGTTCTAAAAAAGTTATATTCCATAAAAGCAAACTTAGTCCAGTAGTTATGTACCTAGTTAGCTTCTTTAGTAAAACAAAATTTGAATCCTAGTGACTTCAAGTTTATTTTGTGATTATATAATGAGAAACATTTTTTATTGTGTAATTTAAAATCTCATAGACTTTTGATAAATTAAAAAAAAAAAAATCATTTTTTTTCTATTAACATATGTTGCAAATTTTGCTTATCTGGTCAAAACTTTGAATAATGTATTTTTTTAAAATACCTCTAATTGATAAAGAAAATCAATTCTTTCTTCTATTTCATGTTTTTCATTGATAAAAAATGAATCTTCTTTATATTTTTCTCTTATATATACAAATACATTTAATATAAAAATTTAAAAAGAAATTTTTTTGTTATATGAAAAATATTCATTCTAGTAAAGACTTCACTGCATACAGAAATTTTGAGAATAAAATATTTCTATTAGTATTTTTTTTTTTTTTTTTTTGTAATTGTTTTAAGCTTGATAGTTAATTAACTTAATCATTTTTCTTTCGATTTACCACCTTAAATTTGGACAGATTTTCTCTTTAAATTACTATTGGTTCTGTATATGTAATGCAAGATTAAATTTGATAACTAATAATTTTAACTAAAAAAAATATTTTAAAAAATATAAACAAAAAATGTTGATATGCCGTGACAATTGCTAATAAATTTCCCAAATTGTATCTTTTTGGGACAGTGAAAGTATTAGTTGGGATGTGTATTTGTTATTTAACACATTAATTTTTGATATTTAAAAAAAAATAGTTCATGCAAAAATTGATTTGTCCTTGTTAAGTTGTTGAGGAAACAGATTGTTGTGGTTATGTGGATGTGATTTTCAATTTAGTATACTATGCAAAGATGACACGTCAGTTTTGTTATTTTTTTCCTTGATTGGTTATATTATATAAATTGGGCTATGTAAGTTGATATGTCTGGCCTAGTAATAATTTCTCAGAAAAATGGATTTTATAATGTAACAGTTAGAATTATTTCTACCATTGAACCCAAAAAGAAAACTATCTATAAACTTAAGGTTCATGAAATTGATCCAGCTAGTCTCTAAAGCTCCTCCCATGAGATATGAGGACTGGCATAAACTGCTGTCAAAAGAAATTGCTTATCTGCAAAAGAAATACGCAAATGCATACATGGACGCTAAGGTTGAATGAGAAGACCTTCTACGATCAAAGAGGAAGGAGAGGTGTCTGGCTGATGTTGAATTTCAGGAAGCTAGCTAAGGCACATGTCAGATCATACACTCTTAAACCATATAATTCATGCTATAAAACTATTTTAAAAATTTGATGCAAGTAAAGAAGAATGAACGGGTGAAAGATCTTACTGGATTCATGTTAAACAGAGATAAAATTAAGAATATATATATATATATATTGTAAAAGAAGAATTTCAGCAGTTTTAGACTGCTGGGACGGTAATAAAGTTTGTATTCCTTCAAGATTTCAGTAAAAATTTTAGAAATTTAAGTCACATAACTGACCTCCAGTAAAGATCTCGAAAATGTAAATCATTTAGATAGATTAAAAAAATGAATTGTAAATTAGAGGAAATTATGAGTTGCAAATGAGAATGAATGTTAATAAAACTATATTTTATATTAAATAAATATAAAAATATAAAAACTAATAAAAAAATAGACATCAAAAACTTGAACTCACTCCCAAGGCCAAAAAAAAAAATGACTGACCTCAATTCTTTTGAGCCTCTTCAAGTTCCTTGCCTCTTAACTCCTTTCCATTCCCCTTCAAGCTATGTTAGACCCATCGCAACCTTCGAAAGGACGGTCCCCTAAAAAGGCCATGACATTACGAAGATGATCCTAAGACGTCAAATTATCAACCAAACCAAACGTCTCGAGGTTTCTAAACATTGTACTACATTTACTACCACTTCCATGTACTTGAGACAAATAATGTGCAAACCAAGATGTCACATACAAAACCTTTGAATGAGCAAACTTTTCCATCAAATTCTTAACACGATCGTAGTATATTTCACCTGGATGAAAGTAACCATTAAACCTAATTTCGAGCAAATGCGGAACATCTTTCAACTCAATTTCTTGGAAAGCGACCTTGTACTTGAGCAAAACAAGATTAGGAGCATCAATCACTACCGTCCTCTCTTTTTTCTAGTGTTGCCACGTATGTGATTGTGTTTAATAATATTATTGAAAATAAATAAAATTAGTGTTAAAACTTTTTTTAAAGGCTATAAAATCTATCTCCGGTGCCCAACTTCTAACGGGAGTATATTATAAATTAGTTCCTTTATATTTCAAGAAATGAATTAATTAGTTTTTTAAAAAAATTAATTATTAATTCTTTGATTAGTATTGATTATACTTAATTTAATATTATTTTATTTCAAAACATGTCACTTTTCAATAATTTTTTCAAATTTTTTTATTTTCATGAAAAAATAAAATAAATCAAAAAAGAAAAAAATATTAAGTTATAAAAATTTAAAATATATAAATTAAATAATTGTTTTCTAAAACAAGAAGGACTAATCAATTGTTTCTAGAAACCAAAGGACTAATTTATTATTAGTTCCTTAGTAAGAGTGTTTGGTGGCTGCAACGACTCCCAATAAATTATAAATTCTGAGCCAAAAACCAAAAAATAAAAATAAAAATAAATAAATACTTCGTAAAATATTTAACTACCTCCCTAGTAACAAAAACAAGTAATTAATAAATTAATCCTTGTATTTTAAAAAGAGTTAATTAACCTTTTTTATTTTAAAAATTAATTATTTAATTTCTTGACTAATGTTAACTAAGTTTGATTTAATATTATTTTATTTAAAAAGTATCATATTTTATTGAAAACATATCATATGTTTTCATCAATTTTTTTTAAAAAAAATTATCCATTATGTTATAAAGAGATGTTTTTTTTAACTTTTCACATAAATTAATAAGATTATTAATTATTATGTCATATCAATATTTTTTTTGAATATTTTCTAAAAATATCTTTTTAAAAAAATTATATTTGAATAATTTTTTATTAAAAAATAATTAAAAAATATTTAAAAAAATTTCATCACTTAAAGTTTTGACTAAATAAGTATTTAAAATAGATATCAATAGATAGGTAATGATCTCTTTATAACAAAGAGAGTGTTTTTTTTTTCTTTTTTTCTTAAAATAAATAATCAACATCAACTTGAAAAAAAAATGAAAAAAATTAAATTACAAAAAAAATCTAAATATATAAAAATTAAATAATTAATTTTTTAAAGATAATTAATTAGTTCATTTCTCAAACTGAAACAACAAATTATAAATACATTAATAAAAACTCAATGGTTACTAGCGAGAACTGCCAAGGGCACTCTCTAATTCCTTTCATTTTATTTCTTTCCTTGTAAAATGATAAAATTACTCTGTATTAAAATTTTGTTTTATCGCATTCTCTCTTCTTCCGCTAGCGCTGAAAATAAGTAAGTTGTACATTAGTTTCTTATGTTTTCAAAATGAATTAAATGGTCCATATAATTTCAAAAAGTAGTTAATTAATCCCTATATTCTTAAATCTATTTGTATTTTTTTTTTTTTTTTTGCTCTATATCGTTTTGGTCCTATATATATATATATATATATATATTCAACTTTCAGCTAGTTTCTTTCTAATTAATCTAATCTTGATTTTCATTAAAAAAAACAAAACTTAATATTTTTCGTATTTTAATTTATTTTGATTTTTTATTTCAAGAAATAGAAAATAAGTCAAAAAAATATTGACAAAAAATTAAAATGTCAATTTAATAATAATTTTTTCTAAAAAAATATATTCTTTTTAATTTAATAACACTTCTTGACCATATAAAATGCCAAATATTGCATAATGTTAAGAGAAAATTTTTTTAGTATTCAATGAGTGACTCACAATACTTAATCTATTAAAATAAAATGAAAAAAAAATTAAGTTACAATTAAATTTAAAAAATATAAAAAATTATTTATTTATGTTTTGAAACTATAGGGACTATTTCATTCATTTAAAAAACCTAAAAGGACTGGTTTATAATTTCTTCGTTTTCGGTTGGCAGCACCGAGAAGGAGGGAGAATGTGATGAAATATAATATTTAATGTAGACTTTTTTTTTTTTTTCCATTTTAAAGAGATTAAGTAACTTGGCTTATCTTTATCCTAATATCACCTCCCGTAACCAGCATGTGAACTTATCTTTATCCTACACAACGAACAGTAAAATTTGACCTTTCTTCTCTATTTAAAGCGAAGAGCTGAAAGGGAGGCCACGACCAGCAGCTAGGGTTTGTCCTCTACTCTTACAGCGTTAGAAAGAAAAGGGGGCTGAGTTTGCTGGAAGCTTCCGGCATGGAAGCGATTGGAATGGCTCAAAGAAACTTAGTTACAGAGAGTCTTTCCGAGTCCTCCCATGCCGCAGACTTCCAGTAATTCCTCTCTTTACTTATCTGCACTATTCAAACAGCTGTGAATGATAAGATTTATGATCCTGTAAGGTAGATCTACTCAAATCTGATGCTTTGTTTTCTTGTCCATAGCTAGATCTATGTGCTAAGCTTCTCCAAGCGTTTAATTGTTTTTTCAAGTGATATCATGCTTAGTTGACCTTCTTATTTTGGGGAGAATATTATTGTGACGATTTTCACTTTGGTGATAATGTTAATTCTATGGTTTTTTCAGAAACATGTTTATAGAGAAAAGTTATACGGTAAGATGTCAAGCTGATGAAAGGGAGCTTCTTCTCTTGTTTTTATCTTTCTTTAAAGGAACGACTTTTCAAGTTTTCATTGTTTGAAGGAATGAGAAATCGATTGACTGCAGAAGCTCTTCAGCTTTCTTTAGCAACACCAATTGATTTCTACTTTCATGGGAGAAACACTAATTTTTACGCATAAAATTATAGGATGATTAATCCACTTATTATATTTGAAATAATCATCTTCTAAATAAACATGAAAAGATTAAAAAAAAAAAAAAAACAATCTTTGATGTATATTGAACATAATGATATGCGTCTCACTAATTTAAATATAAAACATAATATATGCAAAGAGATATCAGTTAAGCGGATGCATGTTTTATGTATATTGAACATGAAAAAGCAACCAAGCAGACAACGTTTTTAGATCATTTAGCTTTTTCAATTGATCTTCTTTTTTTTAATGAAAAGAAAGAAACATGGAAAGACTGACAGGCAAAGGATGCATTTTTTGAGATAAAATAATATTAAAAGAAATCATGAGCTAAAGAAGTAATTCGTTTGTAAAATAAAGTAAATTATTTAATTTATTTTGCAAAGCGAAAAAGACTAATTTACAATTAGAAAAGAAGAAAATAAAAATAAAAATCGGAAAAAAAAGTTTAGATATGCATAGCGATTACTAAATAATTAACGCAAAATCCTAGCTTCCCAAGAACCAAAAAGTCTACTGCCAAGAACTATAATCCCAGCTTCAATTATTACATCTAGGAAACATGAATGTCTAAAAGTAAAGCTTAAACTTCGTTTGTCTAGTAAATGGTGATCCTTACAAAAGTCTAAAAATAAACTCCAAATGGACCTAATCAAAAGATTATTTCTTGTCCAATGAACCAAAAAGTCTACTGCTAAGAACTATAATCCCAGCTTCAATTATTATACCTAGGAAACATGAATGTCTAAAAGCAAGGCTTAAACTTCGTTTGTCTAGTAAATGGTGATCCTTGCAAAAGTCTAAAAATAAACTCCATTTCTAAAAATAAACTCCATTGGACCTAATCAAAAGACTATTTCTTGTCCACTCAAGCTAACCGCAAAATATCAAACCTACTCTGCATCTGGAATATTCACAAAAGGATGAAAAAATGAGTATGAAACTCAGTAAATAAACAGACAAACCCACCTTTTTTTTTTTTTTTTTTTGATCGGTTAAGATAGACAAAAGAAACTTATTGAAAGAAAGAAAGAAATAAAAACGATAAATATAAATTTACAGGAGATCATAAGCATTCCACACTATTCATGGAATCCTTAAAAAAATAAATAAATAACTATGGACTACGACCACTTCTTATCCGGTCGCAAGGGGCCATATACATGCCCTATGGCAGGGCCCAAATTCGAATGCCAACTTATTCATCACCGAAGGCAGGGTCCAGAATGTACGTAGTCCAACAAAGACAAATAACTACATCATGTATGGTCCATGCATGAATTCGCAAATACACATTCCATTCGAAATCAAACATATTCACAAGCCGACATGTAAATAGATCAGATTTTAATTCAAGTTCTATCCAAATCTAATGTAATTAAATAAATTTGACAAAAAAATATTTTTATTCTAATTATGATTATAATCCAAATCTATTAACTCGTTTATTAAATGGATTAAATTCGGATCTATCTTGATCCGATATGATAATAATTCGAATCGAAAATAAAAATAATATTTTTAAAATATATATATATATATATATATATATATATATATATATATATATATATATGAAACTAGGTTGAAATTTGAAGTTTATTTATTTTAAAGTTAAAATAATGCATATCCTTCCACAACAACGATCGTATATTTTTTTAAAAAAATTAAATATAAATATTTTTTAATTTTCTTAATTCAATTTCGCAATATATATATATTGACTTATATATTTTTTCAAGAGTTAGTGTTATTATATTTATCATCACGTAGATACGTAATAAAGATTATTTATTATTTTTTTCTTTTAATTTTATCATATTTCTTCCAAGTTCAAGACAAAATTTTATTAAGATTATTTGATTTTCTGCTTTTGAATTGAGTGGTATTTTGATTTTTTAACAAAATTGATAGATACAATATTATCTTAATATATTTTATTATACATGTTGTTAATACCCATTTTTCCCCCACTATTCTCTTTTATGCTTATTTTATTGCAAAATAATAACAATAATAATAATAAAAGGCAAAAAAAAGAGAGAAAAGAAATCAATTTAAATAGATATTTCAAATTAGTCTAACTAAAAAAAAAAAAAGAGAAAAAAGAAAGTTTGAGAATCAAAATAAACCCGATCAAGGGAAAAATTAAAAAGAATTAAAAAAATCCTTAAATTAAAAAAGGACAATTATAGAAATATTTTTAAGAAAAGGCTTGATTAGTTATAATTTGAGTGTCATTAAAGTTCAAACGACTCAAATTATGCTTAATCCGACAAATTAAGTGAAATTGAGGACAAAAACAAACTTTTATCCCCAAAACCCTAATTCCTACCTATAAAATCTTTGTTTTCTTTTTAACTTATCAAACTTGTAAGTTTATAGGGTTTTGAATGATTCAAAGTGCTCGTTCTAATTATTTTATCATCATTCTATTGATAAAGAGAGTGAAATATTTTGTTTCTTACTTTCAAACTTGAATAATCCATGTTTGTTTCAATTAAGAAAGGTGTTAATTTGCATTTCATACGTTTCATAGTTATTTAGCTATTGGGGTGGTATGATTGCTGAATTGATGATTTCCATCATGAAAGGTCACATATTAATATAATTAATATCAATTGTGTATTGAATGCTAATTATTTTTATGTGACTTCTATAGAAATTGTTATTATAATTTATGTTTGACACTCCAATTTTGATATATTATCTTATTTTAAAAAATATATCTTATTGATTATTAGGGTACAAGAAATAAATTATGAATGTTGATATGAAATAATAGAATAATCTATCATCTTGTTTATAGTGGTAGCAAGAAAAAAATATATTATATGAATAGTAGGGGCATAAAAAAAAAGCTATTGCATTAAAATTTTGTTTGAGAAAAATATTTGTAATTCAAGATAAATTATCATAATTCTCTCACGATATTAATTTTTTTTTTTTTGCCACATTTATTTTTAATGTGATGTTGTTGGAGGTATTTGTAAAAACACTCTTATTATACAAAAGGTATCATGATACTTATGAAATATTTTGGAAATATTTTGTTGAGAGAATTGATGGAATAAGTGACACTCATATTGTACAATTAAGGTACAATGATATTGTGATAATATTTTCCGATAAGTGGGTCGAGATGCACTCTTATTATGCAATTATGATACAATAGTGTTTTTATGGCATGTGTGATAAAACAATTAATGATAATTTGAAAATTTTAAATCTCTAACCGAATATTGATATTCTTATAGTATAGACGAGATACAATGATGTCAAATTTATATGAGAAACTAAAAATTAAAAAATATTCTGATTTACTTCATCTAATTATATTCAATATTTTTTACTCGTATTAAAAAATACAATAATGCTATCATGCTTTAGCATGATGATGATGAAGCAAAAAATACATAATAATATATTTACCATTTTCTCATATATGTGTGTAAAATTTAAATTGGCTAAAAGCCCAAGCCAATGAGAAGTAAAAGTAAATGGATGTTATGTTTTGTCTAAAGCGAAAAATAGTAAGAGTGAAAAATTCTTAACGCTTATCTTAACACTAATAAATTGATTGAGTAGTTATTACCTAATCTTTTAGGTGTAGATATTAAACATTATGAAATGAAATCATTAACTAAAGTCAAAGAATTAGACGATATATCAAGAAGAATAAGACTAAACCCATAAAGGAATAAAATCACCTACGTAGATATTCTGTTTATGGATCGGAGATCCCAAGAACTAAATTCAAAGAGAAAAATGTGCTTAGTTTGATTTACACACACAATTTATATTTGGGTTATAATACTCATATGTTCATCTTTCTATAGTGTAAGTGCATGTATTCCATGACGAAATAAAGATTGAGTTTCTTTAAATAAAACTTTTAAGGTGGTTTATAATTCTTTTGAATGAGATGTGTTGATAGGGGCCCATAGAGCAACATGGGAGAGGGAGTTGCCACCTAAGCAACAGAGGAAAACTAAAAAACCCTAGACAAAGTGGATTGCATAAAGGTCGGTTATGTATGAGAAAGATATAACATCACTATCATCTTATCGTACCCGAGATAAAATGCATTGAATGCATGTGAAAATAAAAATATAGTTTCATTATTTTATGTTTCTATGCCTATTTGAGTGAATTTATTTTGTTAAGATGGAATAGCCGAGTAATTTGGAGTTCGGACTAGTTCAAGACCAATACCCATGCTCAAAGGGGAAAGGTGGGGAGAGATTGAAATTTTGGCTAATCTTTAACAAATATAAGTCTATACCCATAAATAGACGAGTATCTAAAGATTGAGAGCCTATATTGATATAAATAGGAAATCACCGACAACTTCACTCACACAAATGGGAAGTCGTCGATGATTTTGAGTATTAAGTTTAGGAAAGCCATTGACGATTTCATCATATAAGGGGCAAGCCACCAACGACTTCAATTTGCACGAGCAGCAAGACATTTAAAAAAGTTTGGAAGCAACATTTAGAAAGTTGTCGACGACTTCAAAACACATCATTTGGAAAAGCCACAAAATACTTCATCTTCATAAGTGGAAAGTCAGCTGACGGCTTCATTTGGAACATTTAGGAAGTTATTGATGCCTTCAAATAATATTATTTGGGAAGCCATCGATGGCAAAGCCGACGACAATGTCATCCATACAAGTGGGAAGTCATCAATGACTTCATTTATAATATTTAAGAAATCACTTATGATTTCAAATCATATTATTTGAAAAATTATAGACAACTTCATCTACACACATAAAAAATAAAAAAATAGTTGAATTTATCTCGCGTCATGATACAAACATTTACCTAATTGCCACCATAAGAAAAATTCAGATGTTATTATGCAACTTCTCAAATACGTGAGGTAAAGGATTATAATCCACCTAATAAAAGCATGGATTGACTTATAGCCTCCTGCAAAAAAATCAAGATGCTTTGAACCACTAACTAGAAAGTAATTAACTGGCCTCGTACTCACTGCTTTGATAGTTTTGTTTTGTTTTGTTTTTTTTTTAAGGTAAGGAATATCCACAAACTTAGATCCTTTTGTTCATGGATCAAGATTAAGTTTTTTATTCCCAAACAATTTTAAGGATGTAGATCTTATATCAATATAGTATAGTTAGAAAAATTAATTTCCTTTGACACAGATTTCAAGGTTTGAATTCCAAAACAAACAAACAAACTTCTTTAACCATTAAGCCAGTCTCTTGAAGTTCCATGTACACAAATTAATTCTGTACTTTTGTTCCTTTAAATATCAAGTCATGGGCTACATACGATTATTCTAATTTGTTAAACTTTATTGGTTTGCCCACCACGACAAAATTACTTGTCTTTAACCTTTATCTGCATTGGCCCAAGCAGGCATACGATGATAATTTATTGATTTTATTATTAGAAAAGTTTTATGGTACTCGAATAAGTATCGATATTTATTTTATAAAAGAGAAATAAATATGAAAATGAGAGAGAAAAAAAATTAAGTTTAGTTAAAGATATTCTTATTTTTTTTATCATTATGTGATTTTTTTTCTTTGTATATCTATTTCTCCCCTAAAATTAGATTTATAAAATAAGTATTATTAGTTTTTCTTTGAGTATTTTAAAATTTCTCTTATTATTACACGTTACATTAGAAATTAATAATATTTAATAATATATTCGTGGTTAAGTTTTTTTTTTTTTTTTAAAAAAAAAATCAATGATATGGACTCACTACCGGCACCCCACCAATCCATGTTGATGGATCGGTGACTATTTCTTTTGGCGTATAATCCCTAAATAAATTTGTTATTTTCTCCTTTGGCAATATATGATCGGTGACTACGAAACAGACAATTAAGGTGAATGTGGTTGGCAGCATTGACGTCGTCTGATTAAGAAATCATTTTCCTGCATTTTGTTCTAATTAATTAATACACTCACAAAATGCATCAAGGGTCATCGATGGAAGTGTATTTTATAAGCAAATTTGACGTGCAAAATTTAATAGAACTTTAGTCTTTTCTTTTTGTATTTAATGGAAATACCGACTTGGGTAAAAAAGAGTCTCTCCACTTCAACATTCAAATTGTTTCATACATTAGTGGAGTGACAATTTAGTTTTATCACTTTGCCTAATGTCTAATTATTTGCCTAGTTATGATATGTCATTTTTCACTTCCATATATAAATGGACTATATCCTTGTGGCTTTTTTGGGTATAAATCTCTAGGCAAACTCCAATACACAAAGAGTTGGATCAAACTTTGAAAAAGAGAAAATTGATAAATCACAATATTGTTTATGACATTTAATTCGCTTACTATAGTGTTTGTATATATATTATATCACCATTCAAATTATTATAATTTCACACATCATATATATATATAATTCCAAACTATACAATCGCTCTCTACTCTCCCCCCCCCCTCTCTCTCTCTGATAAATTTTTATAGTCTACATTAGTTGTTAAACATTAACAAATTAGCATTAATAATTAACGAGACAAAAAAGAAGATCATATTATCACGACAGACTGAATTGACTATCACTATAAAATTAAAGAACTTACTCTTTCCTCCTCTTATTATAATATATATATATTCTAAACTCAAATACTCCAAATAAGGATTTGAACTTGTGATTTATTGTAAGTGTAAAAACCCCACAACTACTAGACTAGAAGTTTATTGGTCCACAATTTTTTTCTCATCATGATGGAAATTTAAAGAGACTATAATCATAATATATACCTTTCAATAATTATAAAAAATGTATTGAAAAGTAATTAATTAATAACATGAATTTAAAAAAAAAGGTAAAAAGAGAAGCAATAATAAAAATGCGCAATTAATTAGCAGAAACTCTAATGCAGGTTTAATTTAAATTTTCGAGAGTAATTTTGAAAAATGAATTAGAGTTAAGGGGGTGAGTTTAGCTAAATGATTAGACACTCAATTTGCATTAGATTATCAAGTCAAATCCAAGTAAAAGATAAACGAAAGGACGTCACAATTCACATACATCCAACGATGGAGCCAAAAGGCAAAGGGACAACACATTGGTCGCTGAATTATAAGAAAGAAGGAAGAACATTGAACAATACTAAATTCAACAAGTGGCCATGAATATCTTGGACCTCAATGGAGAAACGGTCGTATTGCCAAATTACTAGGCTCCAGTCTAGCTAGTTGATCAATTTTTAAAGATTTCTCAATGATTTATTATGATAGGTATTGCCACATTTTCGTTTTATACTAGATGATTAAATTCCAAAAAATTAAAATAAAAATCATTCAATTAAGCTTGATTCTTGACAAATACTTCCAACTTTTGTACCCTTTCATTTGTAACGCTAACGTACTTCCAAAAGCAAGATTACTATTTCTTTATTACCTTCTCCTTATCTTCAAAATTGATTCTCCTATAACTATCAAAGCTTAGAGCAAATCTTCCGTACTTGAGGAAAACCAAGAAAGCCTCTAAAAAATTAGCATAAGCCTAGATGAGTTCCATGAAAGCAGTGTTAAAACCAGATGTGACCTTATCTCTTAAACTATCACCCTCCCCTTCTCCTCATGACCAAACCCTAAAGCCTGAAGAACGAGGTATACGTCTTATCCAACTCCTCCTAAAATGTGCAAAACATGCATCCTCGGGTAATCTTCATCGAGCCGATGCATGTCTTTCAGAGATACCGGAGCTTTCATCGATTTCGGGTGACTCTATGCAAAGGTTGGCTGCTCGTTTTGCCTCCGCCTTAGCCATTCGCCTTGTCAAGCGTTGGCCCGGCATACACAAGGCGCTAAACCAAGCCCAAGAACCCAAATTAGAGCTTGATAGGGCAAAGCCCCTCTTTGTCCGCACCTTTCCTTACTTTAGTTTCGCTTATGCCATCATAGCCCAAACCTTACTCCATGCCTTGGCAAACCAACGTATGATTCACATCGTAGATTTGGGCTTCAGTGACTCGAAATTGTGGGTTGCACTGCTCCGAGGTTTCGCTAACTCACCACATGGGCCTCCACATTTGAAGGTCACTTGTGTTAATGGCAACAAAACTATTCTGGACAAGTTAGGCCGAAGGCTTGTCAAAGAGGCAGAAAGCATGGGTACACCCTTTCAATTTAATCCTCTAACCGTGAATTTGAGAGAGTTAACAGAGGACATGCTGGAGGTGAGACAAGGAGAAGCACTAGGTTTCATATCAATGTTAAATCTTCACGTTTTATTAGCTGAAGATGATCGAGTAGTTGCACATTTTGGGGTTAACAGTAGTGACAGCATTAAAGACTGCAAGCAAATTGGTGATTTTCTGGGCATGATTCGGTCAATGTCACCTAAGTTATTATTTGTAGTAGAACAAGAAGTTGACCATAATTTAAATCAATTGGTGGACCGATTTGTAGAGGGATTGCATTATTACAGTGCAGTGTTTGACTCAATAGATGCCACTTTGGGGAGTAATTTGGTTACTGAGGAAAGGCTTATTGTAGAGGAAATGTTTGGGAGAGAGATTGAAAACATTGTAGCTTGTGAGGGGTTGGAAAGGACTGAGAGACATGAGAGGTGTGCAAGGTGGGTGGTTAGGTTTGCACAAGCAGGGTTTAAGCCAGTTCGGTTGTGGTATAATTCATGTGAGGATGCTAAACAAATTATGGATGCCTTTGGAAAGAATGGGTACAAGATTGTTGTTGAGAGAACAGGTTTGATGATTTGTTGGCATGAACGACCACTGTATGCTGTAACAGCTTGGACTTGTTAGCATTGTACATTTGGGGTAAATCTCACATTTGAATCTTGTTCAACTAATGACCATACAAATGAAAAGAATGAAGATTATGATAATACAAAGCAAATTGCAAAACATTGTATAGACGAACTTTCTTTTGCACTCATCTTTGATTCAAATTTGGAAATTGAAACTACTAATTTGCTAGAATAATAACAATAATGTTAAAAAAAAAAAAAAAACACAACAAAAGATATAATTAGCCAATTCAATATATAAAGTATCACAAAAACCAACTTTACTTTTATTGCAATTCCTAAAACTAATTGTTTGTTTTTGTTAAAATGAATGCAAACAACATATATGAATGGGGAATATGAATGTTGAATGACCAAGCCAAGCGAGAGGAATTGCCGGACTATCACGAAGCTTCCTAACACCGACTGCCACTTGTCGATTGACCCAAAGAACTCGGAGATTCCATAGCACCTTGGGTACTGCAGTAGCCAATGATTGGCACACAATAAATAGGAAGTTAGTTATAGATTATTCTATTTTGTAAATTCTAGAACATGAATTGTAATGCTATAAAGAGACGAACAACAAAATGTATTTTTATGATTGAATATCATCAATGAGAAGCACTCTTTCTCTTCATTCTCTCTATTTTTTCTCTCTATTTTAACATGGTATCGAGCCCGGTTCTCTCTACTCGAACCTCTCAAAATCTTCTCTATAAGCATAAATATAGACACTATTGATTTCACCGATCCCCTCCACATCCATGCCTCTCATACACATAATCTAGTCGTGGTTTCGAAAAAGCTAGAACTTAAAGGCATGGAAAACTATGGTGTATGGTCTAGAGTTATGAAAATCTATGTGGAAGCAAATAACAAATATAGTTTTGTAGATGGCATTTGTGAGAAACCGGAGCCGTCCTCACCTATGTGTCCACATTGGGTGAGATGTAATGCTATAGTTTTTGCTTGGCTATTAAACACTCGTATCATAGGAGATCTATAATGCTATGGTGTACTACAAATCAACGAGAGATTGTATGGAAAGATCTTAAAAAGAGATTTGACAAGATCGGTGGACCTTAAATATTTTCCATTCACGAGAGAGATATCACACTTTATACATGGCACCCTTTACGTATCAACATATTATTCAAAGCTCGAAAAGCTGTGGGATGAGTATGAAACATTAGTTACTTGCCTAACCTATGACCGCCCAAGCTCGAAATTGTATCTAGAACACACACAACACCTTTAAGATGTTGCAATTTCTAATTGGTTTAAATGAGACCTATGCAATTGTCAAATCACAGATTTTGATGATGATGTCACTACCTACACACACTCAAGCATTTTCGATAGTAAGAAATGAAGAATCATAAAAGAGCATCTCCAACAACATTCGGATCAATGAAACACCAACAAGTTTATATTCTAGCAATCAACTAAAAAATCGGAATGTGGGCGGGAGGGAGATTGTCATATGTGAATATTGTCACATGACGGGACATTTGAAGAAGGATTGCTATAAGTTGATGGGATATCTAAACACATTTAGAAGAGGTTCGGGAAGAGGAGGAGGAATGCCATATAGCGAGAGGGCATGAGGGGGAGGGGAAATTATCATACAAATTAGTCTAGCCATGGAGTGATGGAATGTGGCAACCTAGATTCACATAAGGGAGATCAAGGAAATCGGACGATAGGGAGTGCACCAAGTCGCACACGATAACAATACAATCAGATTATACAATAATTTAAAGGAGAATCCGATACTATCAAAGCATCAACCTCAAGTCAACCTCCATCAAATGTAGCAGGTATATTTACTTACTCGTGCAAACACAATGAATGATTGTTTGAAGAAAAATTGAATGGTTGACAATGGAGCTAATGAACATATTTCTTGTGAATTAGATGATAATGCATTGATTTCTAATGTAACTTCAAAACATCTAGAAGTCCAATTGCCAAATGGTAAATCATCCCAAATGACACACACAATTACTATACATTTATCTCTTGATTTCAAATTAATAAATGTGCTACACATACCAGATTTGAAGTTTAACTTACTCGTCCATTTCAAAGTTCACCAAAGATAACCGATGTTTTGTTGCTTTTCGCCTTGATTTTTGCTTACTTCGGGACCTCAAGATCGGGTTGATAAAGGGAATTGCTAGGATGCAAAATGGGCTATATTACCATATGATAGAAACACTCTCACACAATCATTCATCACAAGTCCTTTAGTCTCAACCAAACATGAATTCTCAAATCTTTTCTCATGTCATGTCGGTTTCTAAAATTGTTACCAGCAATGTTTTTCAATCAAGTTATAATGCAATCTCTAAATCAATAAAAAACAATATTTGACACATGAGATTTGGACATGCTAGCAACATGAGACTCAAATTTTTTCCAGCCTTGAAAGATATATGCAAACATGAAGAAATATAGTGTTCTATTTGCCCTCTAGCAAAGCCGACTAGATTACCCTTTTTCGAAACACTAACTAAAACAAAAGACATATTTGAATTGTTACACCTTGACATTTGAGGACCTTATAGAACACCTACACACAATGGAGCCAAATACTTTCTTACAATAGTAGATGATTATTCAAGAGGAACATGGGCTTTTTTATTAAACTTTAAAAGTAATACAAACACCACTCGTCAAAAACTTCTTTCACCTCATCAAAACACAATTTGCCAAAACCATCAAAAGAATCAGAATAGATAGGGCAAGAGATTTTTTAAATCATGAGTGCAAAAAGTTTTTGAAAGAACAAGGAGTCATCCATCAAAGTACCATACCCTATACACCATAACAAGATGGAAGGGTAGAGAGAAAACACGGACACATATTGAATGTCTGCTAGGTCCCTTATGTTTCAATCAAGTGTGCCAATAGAATTTTGAGGAGATTGTATTTTAACGACCATATACTTGATAAACAGAGTTCCTATTTCACTCTTGAATTTCAAAACTCCCTATGAAATGATTTTTGAAAAAACACCTAGAATAGATCATTTCAAAGTTTTTGAAACTCTTTACTATGTCAAAACCTTGAATAATTCTAAAAAATTCAATCCAAGATCAAAACCATGCATTTTTGTTGGATACCACTTTGGACAATCGAGTTACAAAGTGTTTGATATGGATTCAAAGAAGTTTTACGTGTCTAGAGGCATATTGTTCTATGAAAACATATTTCCTTTTGAGTTAAAACCATAGCATTCGATCAAAATTCAAACTACTCAAATGATTTTACGTTCGATGATTTAATTCTAGAATCAAATTCTCAAGTCACATATTCTAATTTCATCACACAAACACCATTCACTCAATAACTAAACGAGTCACCTTCAAACTGAAACCAAGAATTCATTATCCTCTCTACATAAACATGAGTCACAAAATGAAATGAACCTTAGGAGAACCAATAGGGTAATTTAACCACTAGTTTGACCAAGTGACTACCAATGTCCTACCATCCATAGAAGCGACTCGATCGAGCATAAGAAAAAAAGGCTACCTATCCTATCATAAACTATATCTCTTATAAACATATAACACTTACATAAAAAGCCTATATATCAATCCTAGCCAATGTCATATAACCAAACAACTACCATAAGGTAAGAAAGGATCCTAGATGGATTGAAGCCATGTAAAAAGAAATACGAGCATTGAATCTTAACGGGACTTGGGATTTAGTAACACTACTAAAGGGAAAGAAACCAATAGGGTACAAGTGGGTGTACAAGGTGATGCAATTCGGATGTAAGCATTGAAAGGTTCAAAGCAAGGCTAGTTGCCGAGGGATATACTCAAAAGGAAAGGATTGATTACAAAGACACTTTTTCACTAGTTACTAAGATGGTGATAGATATAGTAAGGTCTATGATTGCTCTAGCTGCTTTAAAAGGCAAGAGACCGATGCAAATGGATATGAAAAATGCATTTCTATAAGGAGATTTAAATGAAGAAGTATACATGACGAGTTCAGAAGGGTTTAAAATTGAGGGGGAGTAGAAAGTATGCAAATTGGTCAAGTCATTGTATGGCTTAAAACAAGTCGACGAGATAATGAAACACAAAGTTTTGTGGAGCTATGTTGCAAGCAAGATTCGGTTAATCATTGAATGAGTACTCACTTTTCATGAAAAAGAATGAAGATAGGATGGTGTTTTATAAGATGGTGTTTTTACTTATGTACGTAGATGATATAATCATAGCTGCAAGTGATGAAAGAGAGATAACGATTCTAAAGAATTTCTTACATAAAAAATTTCACATTAAGGTCTTGGTGACCTAAGATACTTCTTAGGGATAGAGATAGCAAGATCAAAGGAAGGAATATGTCTAACACGGAGGAAATACATTCTATAACTACTCGATAAGACTAGAATGATTAATGCTAGACCTTTAGACACACTTATAAAGCAATTTTTAAAACTCACTACGAGTAGAGTTTGACGAGGAAACTAAGGAAAACATGAAGGATCAAGAGATAGCAGATCTTATAAGCTATCAAAGGCTAATAGGCAAGCTCATTTATGTCATAATTAAAAGACCGGACCTATTCTATAGTGTGCGGCTCCTAAGTTAGTTTATGCATAGGCCAAAATAGTCTCATTTGGCGACGGAGTTACTTGGGTGTTAAGGTACTTAAAAGGAGATACGGGAATGGGATTACTAATGTCATCTATAAGCAAATTAAAACTAGAAGTATACTTGTGATTTAGACTGGACATCATGCTGCATGATAAGAAAATCGGTTTCAAAATTTTTGGTTAAACTAGAAGACTCTAAAACATCATGGAAGATAAAAAAACGAAGCACCATTTCTAGATCATCAAGCTGAATCGGAATACAAAGCTATGGAAAATGTAGTATGTCAAGTGATGTGGATACTAAAGTCTGTTTGAAGATTTGAGGGAAGAAACTTTGAACCAACAAAACTATTTTGTGATAATAACGGCTACTATTTATAGCTAGCAATCCG